TGTTATGTTATGTTGCATCGACAATGGAATTTCGTATTCGGAGTCACTGTAAATGTTACAGAAAGCTTACGTTGAGTCGACTTTATCAAAAACTCGTGCTTATGAGTGGTTCAGAGCGTTCAAAAGCGGTCGAGATGTGATAGAAGATTTGCCTCGCTCTGGTAGACCGTCAAGGTCTGCAACTGAAGTTAACATCATAATGGTAATCTCATATCATAATGACATAACTTAATAGCCACAAAATTGTGAATTAGGTGTCTATTAAGGTTTTAATGAGTAATTTTGTGTAGAACTTATGGCGCCGACTTCTAACCTCAGTGGGTGGGTAACCTATCAGTACTTTTTTTTATTTTTTTTATTAGTTTTTGGTTTTTTGAAGTCGGTTTTAACTAATTCGGGTATGAAACATATCGGCTCGGCTAGTCCCAAAAGATCTGAATTTTCTCCAAAAACTCAATCGCATGAAAGTCATGCGTGCACGAGTCGCATGCTAGAGCGAGTCAGTTCGGACCCAACATTCATGAAACGCATTGTTACTGGTGAAGAGACGAGTTTACGAGCCATGCTAACTAGTCAACAAGCTTCGAAGTGGCACCTTCCAACTGAACCGAAACCGAAAAAACCACGCAAGTCGATCAAAATTCAAAGTCATAATGACTGTTTTCTTTGACTATCGTGGTGTTGTGCACTCTAAATTCTTACCGGAAGGTCTAACGGTAAATAAAGCATATTATTTGAGCGTTATGCGGTGATTAAGAGAGCAAATTCGACGAAAAAAGCCAGATTTGTGGAAAGAAAATTCTTGGATTTTGCCACGCGACAATGGGCCTTCGTACAAGGCTATCATTGTGAACGAATTTTTGACCAAACACTCAACAAATACCATCCAGCAACCACCATATTCACCAGATATGGCTCCTGCTGACTTTTTTCTATTTCCTAAACTCAAATTACCACTTAGTGGCACCCGTTTTCAATCGATAGAAGACATAAAGGAGAATTAGCGGCGAGAAATGAACTCAATTCCGAAAGCAGCGTTCTTAAAAAATGCTTTGATGAATGGATTATTCGTTGGCGCAAGTGTATCGTTTCTAAAGGAGCATACTTTAAAGATGATAAAATAAATTTGAATAAACAACAGACATTTTGAGTGTTATTGATTTTTCCCGGTACTTTCTTGATAGAGTATTATGCATTTAAAGTTAAATAACAGCGTATAATAATAATTAGGTGGGCCTGGTTATATTTACCTCAGGTACTACACCTTAGTAATTTATTTCAAAATAACACGATATAGCTTAATTAGTCGCTAACATAATGATTAGAATGTTATTGAAATACTTATCGGTATATTATTTTAATTGTTTTGTATGCATATTGTTTTGTTATTTTCCTGCGATTCTTGTGGGCTTCCCGACAGCGGTTTCCAATGTTTATTTAATACCTATAGTGATAACATTATCTACAACCCAAAGCGCTACGTTCGAAGTCCTTAGGTACAATCAACATAACTGATGATTTATTTTTTTATATTATATTTATCTTTATATCACAAAAGTAAGTATCTTATTATCTAATCCCCACAAAACCGTTGCAAAGGTTTTACTGTAGGGTCAACGAGTCTCTAGACATTACAAAAATATACTTTTAATTAATGAAATATTATATAGTTGTTATAATTTACACTAACCTCTATAAAAAACATTTTTAAATAATATAAGTGTCATTTATTTCAGCTTTTGATAAATATCGTTGAACAATGTTTGCGTTGTCGTGTTTTGCCGTGTGAGTGAGGGTACTGGAGACCCAATTACCCAAATCTCTCCAATCCCTGAATTCACAATTCTCAAATAATTAAACCCAATCTTGAAAATACCTACGCACTACGTCCTAAACCATCAGACCAACACGGATGGGGCCCAACAGGGCTGACGCCGATACGGAGCCGCGGAGAACGTAAACAGTTACCGGGGCTCCGGTTCGATGCGCAAGATTAGGAGCAGGGTGGTTTTTAGTCAGAGTCTGACACCCTCCCGTCTCACCCAAGCGTGAGAAGCCATTCGGTGATTTCCACCTTTAAAAAAACTGCGTCCTTAAGATTAGTTTACCTACATATAAAACTATATTTAAAACTTTGAGCACCAATGTCCAACTGATATTCAGTTATAAAAGCTTGATTATTGTAAGCACTAATTTCATAACACCATCGAGTTAGAATTGAATACAGACGTGTGTTAACTAATAACATGAAGACTGGTGTAACATGTTCTGTTATTTGGTTGTTTACTCTGTTTTGCTATATAGGTAGGTAATGTTCAGTTCTCATGATATTATCATTCAATTTATTTTTAAAATGATTTCACAAACCATATTCGTCAATAAATAATTAATGTGATGGCTAGAATCAACAGTATTGGCAAACTAAGATTTAGAAGTTATCTTAGCAGGGGCGTAGCTAGCGCCGTATTTGCAGTACCAATTATACGGGGACTGTGGACCACGGGGGCCCTAAAGTGTTAATGGTGAAAGATTGCCTGACAATGATTTAACGAAATCGTTCCTCATTGTCAATGATCCCTTTGAAAGTGCATATTTACCTTGTAGATTTTTTTTTCTTATACTATAGAGGCATCATTCCGTTGTGACTACGAGTACAGCACTGAAGCAAAAGGTTGGTTCAAACATGTCAAGATACCAGCTACTTGGGCTGACGCACGGCTGCACTGCACACTGGAAGGTAAGTTCACCAGATAAGCAAGCTAACATTTGCTTGCGACTGGCGAAGAAAATATAAGCATATAGAGGTATAAGCACCGACCTCTAACCTATTTCTAGATAGGTTGTGCATCTATATGTAAATGCAGATTCATTTGAAGTGTCTGTTTGTAATATTGAAATTATCGCATTTTACTACATGCGTATGAATAAACTAGCTGTAGCCCGCGACTTCGTCCTTCGTCCAATAATGGTGGTCTAATAGTGGGATTTCTGTGATAAAAACTATCGTACACTCCTAAATCTCATATTCCACGCTAACGTAGTCGCGGGCAACGGCTATACTCGGAATTTTAATTCGATTCCAGTTTTGACAATTTCAGTGTTGCAGCGTTATGACGAGTACTAAATAGTGACGTTGCGAAATTATTCGATATGGAAATGCAATATTTCTGGATCGATTCTTCTCGTTTATAATTTTAATCTCGTAAACTAAGTATATCAGGAAATTAAATATTTCTGTACCGATAATTTAGTTTTGACGATTAATTAACGACCTGAGACTTGTCTTTTATAATTGTGTGTGAAATAAATAAAAAAATGTAATCATAAAGGAACATGACAAATGAAACAGATAGATGTATTATGGTAATAAGTTATTTTATAATTTAAATTGTCACCGTAATCGCTATCGCTATCCTGCCACTTTCTGTAACATTTATTATAAAACACACACACTGATTGTTTATCGATTTTTGTGTTCATCACAACACTATTATAATATATGTGGTATCATTATTTCACAAAATGACAGTAGCTAATGTCAAATCTGGAATCTAATTAAAATTCTGACTATAGAGGTAGTTATGAATAAAACAATATTATTTTTTTGTTTTAGTTCTTTTTTTTTTTATTCTAGCAAACTATTTAGGGGCTTTTATCACATATATGTCAGCCCCATCGTACCCTTTTACATTACTTTACGTACTTAACATTGACTCACTCGATTAATTGTTATTCGTGGAGGACCAAAATCAAATAACACAACTTTTTCATAATCGCTGAAGATGGTACAGATAAAATCGATTGTACAATGCCTACATCACATTTATTTATTTTAAAATCCTTCACGAATATCTCACGTTCTTCTCCATTCCGAGCATAGTTCTTAGTTGTTTGTCTTGTTTTGATTGTTTGTAATTTTCACCTAAATGTGCGAGACAGAGGAGGGTAGATGGCAAATTTTTATTTTAATGTCCGTCTGGTAGATTATTTTACATCATTAGACCCGTATTTTTTTATTTTCTTACAGAAACGGATACTTTTGACTATATATTTGATTTGAAATGTCGCGTGACGTCACTTCTATGTAAATTGTATACGTAGAAATGCCGTTACACCCCCCACTCCTAAACTTTGATTCGTTTTATCTAAGTATTGTTTTATTATAAGACAAAATAAAAATTATACGTGTTTAATTTTTTGTCATTACCGAACTGACGGACTAATTATATTTTTAATTTTCATACCCTGTCATCATCTCTATTATCATTATGTACACTCATACTTACAATATGTCTTATGTCCATCCATTTAGGTGCAACACTGGCTTCACCACTCAACTCAGAAATCAGTACCGAGATGCAGTTCATCTTGAAGAATCTCTCCAGGTCGCAATCAGAAATCTTTACTGGAATTCACGCAACTTTTTCACAAAGCAACTTGTATTATACTATCGAAGGTATTTCAATTTACAACACCTTATTTTAATTACTTTTTCATCATCATCATCATCATCAGCCTGTATTCGTCCACTGCTGGACATAGGCATTTAACGGTTATCGGTTCTTCGACAAATGTGACCGGCCCACTGCCACTTCAGCGTACTGACCCTTTGAGCTATGTCGTGCAATTAATTTAGTATGTCTCACGAAAGTTTTAACATTAACCTACTGAACTGTTGCTGCTGGTGTCCACAGGGCATCCTATACAAATAACATCTAATGAAATTCCAGGTGTACCTCTTAGTGAAATCCCATTAGTTTGGGCAGAGAATGAGCCAAATAATGCTGGGAATAATGAACACTGTATCACGTTTAATGCGAATGGCGAAGCGGCTGACAGATCCTGTCATCAGACTCGACCTTACATCTGCTTCCGTTCAGGCGATCATAAGACTTTGGCCAATGAATGCGGGACCGTAGATCCAGGTATGTATCTATCGTTCAACACCAGCCTGTAAGAGTTCTCTGCTAGATTACAGGTCTTCAACATAAAATAGTTTGTCATATTCTCCATAGGTACTTGGCAATATCATATTCATTTATCAATACACTGTTAGACTGTGAGCTGTCCCATAAATATTTAAATGGATTTAAAAAACTTCCACATTATGTTTAAAAAAATGAATTCCTGTCTTTATTTTAGAATACAAATTGGATGCAAGAACAGGCTCCTGCTATAAGTTCCACACAGTACCTCGCACGTTCAGTCGTGCACACTTCGCGTGTTCTGCTGAAGGCGGTCGTCTAGCCATAATCAACAGCGATGTTGAAGCTACAGTACTGAGGGAACTCTTCGCAAAATACCCAGGTGGAAAGATGTTCGGATCTTTCTGGAAAGACGTTGCCTTCATTGGTTTCCATGACTGGGGTGAATCTGCTGACTGGAGAACCATTAACGGTAAAAGTTCTGATTTTATTAATTAATAAATAAGTTTTAAATTATCATTGTCCATTTCCAAACACTGAAATGTCCCAGAATTATTTTATATCCTATTATATGACTAATCTATCAAATACTGCTGCTGACTGCTTCGTTGGCCGAGTGGTCGCAAGTGCGACTGCCGGGCAAGGGGTCTCGGGTAAGATTCCCGGGTCGGGCAAAGTATTACTAAGTTTTCTTTAAAAATGTTCAGTAGTAGTACGGAGTCTGGAATCGCGCCCGGTATATAGCAATAGGCTCACCCCCTATTACGTGGGACTCATAACTTAAATAGTGAAAAGTGGGTGTTACATTGTACAGTGGCATAATGTATACCTCTGCCTACCCCTTCGGGGATAAAAAGGCGTGATGTTATTTATGTTATGTCTATCAAAATAATCTTAATTTTCAGGTCAAACGTTGGTAGAAGCAGGGTACAACAAGTTTTCTGGTGGGGAGCCAAATAATGCCACTACAGGAGAATCGTGTGGATCCATGTATCGAAACGGTTTACTCAATGACCTTTGGTGTGAGAAGCCTGCACCATTCATCTGTGAGAAAAATCCAAGATATCCAGCTGTTTGTCGTAAATCAGAACTGGAACCTGCATTTGATCCTGACAGCTTCTAAGAAATATTTTTAACCGACTTATATCTATACTTCTTTAGAAATATTTATGTTTAGTCGATTCTGGTCTGAAAGTTTGATTAAAATAAATTAATGAAATCTATCTACACATCATAATAATATTATAGTCATAACTTTTTGTACTGTTTTGTATGGATTGAGCTGGTATACGAGCTAGTAGACGAATCACTTATTGATGTTTTTGTAGTTTAATATAAACTTAAATAAAATTAATACGGACTATTACTAAATTAAATATATACAACTTAAGATGAACATTAATTAAAATAAAACTAAAAACAACTATTTACATAAAGCATCAAAAAATTCGTCCGCATCGACGTTAGTGGGGAAAGTACTCAGAAGGCTGGCAGCATTCCGCGTTGTATGGCAATGCTCAACCTCTGGCTGAGAAAAAGAGCCCAGTCACAACCGAGAGTACGGCGCGTCGCGTTCCGCGCGCGCCTCAAAGAGCCATCAGACCATCACAGATGGGGCCCAATAGGGCCGATGCCGATTCGGAGTCACGGAAAACCTAACGGGTAACCGGGGCTCCGGCTCGACGTGCAGGAGAAGGAACGGGGTGGTTTTTAGTCAGTAAGAGTCTGACACTCCCTCCCGCCTCACCCAGGTGGGAGCAGTCATTAGATGATTTTCCCGCCTTAAAAAAAGGCCCTCTGGTCACGAGATGCGTCGACCAGGCGTTTCGAAATGTTTTTGAATCACTTGACGAATCATTTTTGATAGTAAGCTATCGATGTCTCGCCGACCTTTTGGGGATTAGGAATTTGAGCATTGTTAGGAATTCGGGGATTAGGGAGATTAGAGAGGGGATAACTGGACCTAGCGTCACGCTATGATCAGTAGCCCCTGAGCAGAGTGGGTGAAGCCGCAGGAAAGTAGCTAGTATTTTATACAGAAATAAGTAGACAACTAGGTACCAAACATAGGTACAACTAGTAATTAGAGTTGATCAACCTTTAAAACAAAGATGTAACTAGTAACTTTTAAAGCCTGATAAATATATTTGTTTGAACGTACTAATCTCCGCCATTACTAGTTCCAATGGAATATTTTTTTTAATTGGGCCCTCGGCAACCTCACTCACACAACGAAACAATGCAAGCGTTCCTTCACGTCGGTCTTCTGTGAGGCCGTGGTATCACTCCGGTCGAGCCGGCCTATTCGTGTCGAAGCATGGCTATTATTTCCGTACAGGTTGAAGAGCAAGGGTGAGCTCAAACCCATCTGCCTTACCTCACACCCCAACCCGCTCGTATCCGAAAGTTCATCCGCCCACTTCACATTATTTTTCTGATTGAGATACCAATACTTCAGAAGCGACGCCAACTCCGGCGGCACCCCAGTCCCTGCCAGCTTCTCCCACGGAACATCATAGGACACTAAATCGAAGACTTTACTAAGGTCTAGAGGTAGAAAACAGGCATACATAGGAGTACGCCCATCTGTGTAGTACTTGACAGTGTGTTTCAAACTCAAAATAGCTGTTTCTGTTGTCATCCCAGGCCGGAATCCAAACTGGGCGTCATGTAGCTCTATGTGTTTGGTGAAATGTGAGTTGAGCACTGTCAAGCACCTTGGCAACAATGGTCGCCAAAGAAATTGGCCTGTATGTGGTTTTGTCTGCCATGTCACCTGTCCTATTTTTAGGTATGGGTACCACCAAAGTCCGCATCATCCCATGAGGAAGGTATGCGTGATTTATACATATCGTAGCAAGCATCCGAGGCAGGTGCCGGCCAGCATATCTCACATGTTCAACACTGAGTCCGTCATGGCGAGGGCATCTACCGCCTGTCATTTTAGTAATAGCAATTTTAATATCCTTTGCAAGTACGACCGTGGTAATGTCGGTAAGACAGGCGTCAAACTCCCGACATGCCGGACCTAGCGGAGACTATTGAATAGTAATCCTTAAACATGTTCGCTATTTCCTTCAGAGAGGAGAGACCATCGGCACTTACAGGAATACTAGGCTTTGTATTTGGAGTCGTGGAGAACCTAACGGGTAACCGGGGCTCCGGCTCGTCGTGCAGGAGAAGAAACGGGGTGGTTTTTAGTCAGTAAGAGTGGCCTGTGGCCTGGGTCTAACACTGCCTCCCGCCTCTCCCAGGCGGGAGCAGTCATTCGATGATTTCCCCCCGTAAAACAAAATGCGTTGTATTTGCACTATTAGTATATTTGAACTCGTATTTGAACTCGTATGATGCTTGGCTAATATATTAATTTTAATCTGGTCTTGGTTGTTTTGACACCATTTCAGTTCACTTTTAAATTGTTTCCGTGCCTGAATCATTTCATTAAATATTTCATTCTGTGTTGCTTTACCATTGAGAACCCATGTTCTAAACTTTAGCCTAGCAATCATATAAGCCTCGCTCACATGATTATTCCATCCCGCCAACATAGGTATCTAGTTATCTCCTTAGGTTTTAATGTAATTTTGTTTAGGACTTGAGGCACCGAGTTCTAAACTATTAGTTGGTATAACCCCAGCATCTTCTGACAGAGGGACAGCTAGGATGCTGTTACAAGTCCCTACTTCAAAACCAGAGGAAAGAATCTGTGAAAAAGAAAAGGTCACACTCCAGCAGAACATGGCAGATATCCTATATTACTCCAAAAACTTCACAGTTTGGAGAATAATAATTATTTTTTGGTTTTTAATTTTCGGTTTTTAGTTTGTGGTTATTTTTTACTTTCTACAGTAAATGCATCATTGCTCTAACAGTAAGTACCTACTAGGACTTCATAGAAAGAAAGTAAGATCGTTTATTAGTCAAACATGCGTTTACATAAATTGAGTAGTCAGACATGCAAGATATTAAATAGTTCGTTGTGCGTCCGTGTTACGCCAATAGTAACGTACAAATTTTATAGGTATAAAAATTATATTCAATTTCATTAAAATCAGCAATTTGTACAATAATAGCTATTATTAAATTTCAATACAGAAATAAACATGAAATAAATATGAATTTGATGTCACAAAATTTCAAAATTAGGTAGTTACTTATATGATAATCAAAAATAAATTACGTCCAGTATATCCATTATTATGCAGTCAAACAGTGGTCCTTAAAATAAGTCAATTCATTTACGAATCAATACTAAATTATATTATTACTAGCGACCCGCCCCGGCTTCGCGCAGGTGCAATATGTATGTATTATTCATATAAACCACATTAAGAATCACTGTATTAAAAAACCGCATCAAAATCCCTTGCGTAGTTTTAAAGATCTAAGCATACATAGGGACAGACAGACGGCGGATAGCGACTTTGTTTTATACTATGTAGTGATAAATAGGCATTTGGCCGCTATCTTACCAGGTGGTAAGCGATCATGCTGTCTACGATGGAGCATGCACAGACAACCTTCACACACGATACATGAAGACAACCAGGCTGTATTCTTCAAGAATCACAAACTTAGACAAAGCGTGCCACTCCTTTGTTGTTCGCACTGTTTTTCTATTATAAATTACTAGCTTTTACCCGCGGCTTCGCTCGCGTCACAAAATGATAAAAAGTAACTTATATGACATATACCAATACACACAGCGCCATCTATACCAATAATTTCGTTTTCCCTTGAGAATTTTAAATTTTTCCGGGATAAAAAGAACCCTATTATTTAATCCAGACTTCTAACTGTACATCTGCAAAAATTCAGAGCAATCGGTTTAATAGTTACGGCGTGAAAGCGGAACAAACAAACAAACTCACTTTCCGATTTATAATATTAGTAAGGATGAGTGCTATGTTGATTGAGTAGCCACATGGTTTGATTCCCAATACGGAAAATATATACAAGGAAGTTTTCATCGGAAATTCTTAGTACTCCGAAGTTTATAATTGTGCTGTAAAGTGGCCGAAATTAATAAAATTCCCGTTGTAATCCGAAATTAGCACAGCTGTTCCAAATTAGTTTACATTGATTGTTAGTTGAAAAACTTAGAAGGTTTTATCAAAAATAGTACGCCAGTCTTCTATTCGACCCCACAGCCGGGCCTCAACGTAAGCATAATTGTCATTTTGTATAACTGCTGAGCCCATACCAGGCACAGGTTCGATCTTGTATGGAGTACTGCCGTCATCTTTGGGACGGCTCGGTCAAATATCAGCTGGACGCGTTAGAGCGCATCGAGAGGCGTGCCAAGAGGCTCATCAACGATGATGCGTTTGTGGAGGCCCGGCTTCAAAGCCTCGAACACAGGCGTAAGGTTGCAAGCCTTTAAATCTTCTACCGGATACATATAGTGTGGGGAATTGCACAACTTGATTCCCCCTAGCCCTTCCATCATCGGACCACAAGACAATCGGCGAAGCGTCACCGATTCATGGTAGATGGGAACCCACACGCACGAAGTGCTTCGCTTCAAGCTTCCTTGTGCGTACTGCTAAGAAGTGGAATTCTTTGCCAGAGTCTGTATTTCCTGAAGGGTATACCCTGGATCTCCTCAAGGCCCGAGTGAGTAGCTTGTGGGTCGACGTGCATCCATCGTAGGCCACATCATTGCTTACCACCAGGCGAGATAGTGGTCAAACGTCAGTCCCATCTATTATAAAAAAAGAACTTATTATTAGGGTATTTTGCAAAGACATTCTTGAGTGCTGTTAGTGAGAAGGACATCACTGTTGATTATAGCAAGATGACCACACAAAATGAGCATACTCGAAAGTTCGAATTACTGTGTGGAAGTTATAGCAAGATTTCGTAGTTTGATCGAATGTGTATTCGGAAATGAAGACAGGAATTATTATTCAAAGTGGTATGATAGAAGAATAATAATTGGCTAATGTTCCTACTTTGCATGGATGTTAGATAAGATATCAGATGCTGTAACTATTTTAAATCCTACATAATATACATGCCATTTACATTTACAGGCCATTTACAGGCAATTTACAGGCCATTTAAATGGCCACTTTCACCATCCACTACTATATTAAACCCCTTAACTAAAAGTTAAAGTTACTCAACGTGACCTAGCACCCTCTCCCCTCTTCATAGTAGCTCATGAGGAATTCAGGGGAAAGACGGTCGATGAGATACGGAGATGTTTAATTACCCCGTGCATTGCCTCAGAGGCGCGCGCCGACTTCCGCGCGTGCCTTCGACTCGGTTCCATTTGATGTAGCACCAACAACCAAAATGCAGCTTACCTGTCATGTGTCACTTATAGATTAGTACAACAGTGTACTGTAA